GCACATTTGTTTTAAACTTTGCAAGGGCTTTACGGGTTGAGGGCGGTTGGTGTTCAAAATGTGGTTGTCGCCTTAGCGCCGAGCGCATTTTTTTAAACGTTTGCAAGAGCTTCACGGATTGAGGGCGTGTGGTTTTCAACAGGTTGTTCTCGCTTTAGCGCCTCGCACAGTCTTCTTCAAACTTTGCAAGGCTCTACGGGTTCCCATGATCAACGTACCAGAAATGGCGTGTTGGAAAAAATCGGGATTATATGGGTGCAACAGTTATGTTGTTTCGCGTTGTTGTAGACCCACAAGTCGCGTATGTCACGATTCCTGACCGACAGCACGCAGCAGTGAGGTTGATGCGTACTATTGAAATCCAAGGAACAATGTTTCGGCATGCTTCAGGATTTTCAGACGGTTGTCTTCCAACGAGGCAGTTCCTTCAATGGAAATGAACCGCTGTGGAGGCCTATGAAGAGGGAGCTTGGAGGGAGGGTTAATTCCAACATCGTTGATGACTCTTGGGTTTATACTGGCCCTCCTCCTCATCCTCCTCAGAATCCTCCTCACCCTCCTCCTTGATCCTCTTCCCCCCCATCCAAAGGAGGACCTGCGCGCAGAGGCGGACGCGCGTGAGGCGCGCGCACTGGAGGCGCTGCGAGCTGAGTTCGCAAGCGAGCGCGACGTGCGCGACGCCGAGAGCGCGGACGCGGCCCGGCGGGTTGGGAACCCTGCTCCCGCTGGCTCCTCCGCTTCCTCCTCTTCCTCCTCCTCCTCCTCCTCCTCCTCCTCCTCCGCCTCATCATCATCATCCATCCTCCTTCTCCTCCTCCTCCTCCTCGTCTTCCTCCTCCTCATCTTTTCCCTCCTCCTCCTCCTTCTCGTCGTCCTCCTCCTCCTCCTCCCTCATTCCTTCTCCCACCTTCTCCCCCTCCTCCTCCTCCTGCTTCCTCCTCCTTCTCCTTCCCCTCCTCTTTTCCACCTCCTCCTTCTCCTCCTCCTCCTTCTCCTCCTCCTTGTCCTCCTCTTCCTCCTCCTCCTCTTCCTCCTCAGCAGCCTCCTCCTCCTCCTTCTTCATCTCGACCTCCTCCTCCTCCTCCTTCCCCTTCTCCCTCACCCCTCTCACCTTCTCCTCCTCCTCCTCCACCACCACCACCTCGTTCCCCATCCTCCTTCTCTTTCTCCTCCTCCTCCTACTCCTTCCTCCTCCTCATCATCCTTCTCCCTCTCCTTCCCTTCCTTCCTCGCATCCTCCTCCTCCTCATCCTCCTTGTCCTCCTCCTCCTCCTCCGCCTCATCCCCCTTCTCCCTCGCAACTCCCACCTCGTTCTCCTCCTCCTCCTTCTGCACCACCTCCCCCTCCTCCGCCTCCTCATCCTCCTCCTCTTGATCCTTTTACACGTCGTCATCATCGCCACCAACCTCATCATCATCATCATCATCATCATCATCATCAGCATCATCATCATCAGCAGCAGCAGCAGCATCATCATCATCATCGTCGTCATCATCATCAGCATCATCATCATTAGCAGCATCAGCATCATCCCCATCATCATCAGAATAATCATAACTATCATCATCATCGTCACTATCAACATCATCATCATCATGGTCATCTTAAGCATCATCAGCTTCGTCATCGTCGTCCTCATCAGCATCATCATCAGCATTTTCTCCATCAGCTTCATCTTCATATTCATCATCATCATTATCCTCATTTCACCTCCCCCTAACTCATCCTCCTCCTCCTCATCATCGTCATCAGTACCACCAGCATCATCAGCATCAGCATCATCATCATCATCATCAGCATCCCCATCAGCACCACCATCATCCTCAGCAGCATAATCATCATACTCGTCGTCATCATCATCAGCAGCATCAACATCATCAGCATCATCATCGTCGTCGCCATCACCATCCTCATCATTTTCAGTCTCATTCCCATCCCCATCCTCATTCTCATCACCATCTACATACTAGTCCTCCTCCTCATCATCCTCCCCCTTCTCCCCCTCTTCCCTCACTCCTCACCCTCCTCCTCCTCACTCCTCCCCCCCCCTCCTCCTCCCGTTCCTCCTCCTCCTGATCCTCTTCCGCCTCCTATACTCTCCCATCATCACCACCATCATCATCAGCAGCATCATCAGCATCACCATCATCATCATCATTAACATCATGACTATGCCATCTTCATAATCATCATCACCACCATCGTCATCATCAGCATCATCTTCAGCAGCAGCATAATCATCATTATCACCAACATCATCGCCATCATCATCACCACCACCATCATCATCATCATACTCACCGTCAGCATCAGCATCATCGTCGTCATCATCATCAATCTCCTCCTTCACATCTCCCTCCTCCTCATCGTCCTCCTCCTTCCCTCTCCGTCTATCTCCTCCTCCTTCTCCTCCCCCTCCTCTTCCTTCTCCTCCTCCTCCTGCTCCTCCTCATCGGTCTGTCAATCGGTCGAACGTAAGGGCTGTCATTGCAGCAGTCTCTCTCAAGGAAGCAAGAACGGCGAGCGACAGGGGGGGGTCAGAACAGCTTGGCGGACCGCTCCCCCTTCCTCGTCCTCCTCCTCCTCCCTCATCATTCCTCCTCCCCCTCTCCTCCTCCCTGAGGCCTGTTGATGACTTCGAGATCGCTCAAGATAGCACCGATCTCGACATACCCCCTAAAAGCGCTCCAGGACAGGCTAACCTCCCAAGAGGGCACCACGCCTGCCCAAGAGGCGCCCAAAAGAGCCGCAAGGGGGCTCCAAGAGGGGACACTACCTGCCGATTGCCCTCTTTGGCCCCGCGAGCCTGCAGGCAAATGCCGGCAGTGATGCAGTATGGGCAGGCGGAATGAGCGAAACGATTGCATCTACAAAGCGCGAGAACGGTGCTTGGACAGTGGTCTGCCTCTGGAGGCCGCTTTCCTGGCCCAGGGGCCGCAGCAAACGCAACAGCCCGGGACGGAGGCGCAGCCCCGGGGACGGGGCCGAGGTCCAGGCGGGCCCCGCGTGCGGGCCCACCCACGTCGCGAGCAGACAGTGCGGCCGAGGCTCGGGGGCCGAGGCTCCAGGCCCCGGGACCGGGCTGCGAGGCTCGAGGCTCGAGGGTCGAGGCTCGAGGGTCGAGGCTCCAGGCCACGGCCCTGCGGGGCTCCAGGCTGCGAGGCTCGAGGGTCGAGGGTCCAGGGCCTCGACGGTCGTCCTGCGGCAGGCCCAGGCTACGAGGCTACGAGGCGCGAGGCGCGAGGCTCGAGGGCGTCTACACCTTAGGCGATGCTTAAGAAAACTTAAGTTTTCGGCCATAGTCTCGATTATTCTTAACGTCTCAATGTAAATCTTAAGATTTTAATGGAAATGTTGAGTTTTTTTATTCAAGTTCTGAGACTATGAATTTCTTAACCCATGATTTCTTAAGCATTTCGCAGGGTGTATGGCGTTTCTGCGCTCCGTTCGGGGCCCTCCCGAGGCGCCCACTGTGCCCACGGGTGTGTCCACCTCGAGATGTGGGCCACGGGGCTCCCCGGGAGGTGCGCTGGGCCCCCTGCCCAGCGCGCAGCGAGCAGCCTTGCGACGGAAGGTCTGCGGAGGCCGTGTCTTGGAGTTTGAAACGGTTCGGGGACGAAGCAGAGGTGCTCGAAGTGAGTCAGAGGCCCACGGGAAGGCTCGAGAGCTCTGGGGCCATTCTTGGAGGGTCTCTCGGGGGGGCGCACTCGCAGCAATGGCTGGACCTCTTTGACATTCCAGTCGAAGCGCCCCCTACAGCACATCTCCGCGGCTGTCTGCAAGCACCCAGGCCTAAGAGGCGCCACGGGAAGATCGTGGCGGCAGGCTCCTCCCCGCTCCTGGGCCTCCCGGAGCCCTGTTCCAGGCTACGGGGTCCTCGGGAGCGAGCAGTCCACCGGCTTCCCCCGCGGCGCGGCTGCGTGGCCACGAGAGCGGGCGACGGAAAATCCGGCTGGAGCGCGGCCGCCGCGGGGCCAAGAGACCGGGCGACGGAACGTCCAGCTGGAGTTATTATTTAAGTCGGGCCTGCTCGTCTACAGGAGGATTTTTTGGGCAATGTTTGAATAGTTGTGGGGTATTATTATTTGTTCGCCCCAAATCCGCCTGTAGGGGACATGCCCGACCTAAAGTTATTCGAGTTGAAACCATCGGGGTCCATCTGGTTGCCTTCAACCGGACTCGGCCTCCTCCGTGGCGACGCGGATAGGGGGACATGCCCGACCTAAAGTTATTCGAGTTGAAATCATTGGGTGGGCCTTCAACCGGACTCGGCCTCCGTGGCGACGCGGAGTGCACGTGGAGCCAGGGTGGTCTGCCTGCCAGGGCTCCAGCAGGGCTTCGCCTCTCCCGAAATTTCGAGGCCGCGTCGCGGCCACAACGTGCTGCTGGACGTCTGGGGGGCGTCCCCGTCTCCCTGTCCCCAGACCCCTACGCGCCGTGCAAACATCACGGCGGGAGGTTCTTTGCCGTTTTCGGCCTCCGGGGGCCTTCACTGGGCATCGGGACCGTCCACAAACGACTTAGGATGACAAGCCGGTTCTGGGGAAGGGGTCCAGACCACTGGGGGGTCCACATCCTAAAAGCATCACGACGTCGGGGGTCTGATCTTGTTCGAGGAAACCACAACCCAACCCCCAACCCTGGCGAGGACCCCTGGTGATTCAGGGGGGCCTGGCTGGGCACCGCCAGCCAGGACCCCCTGGACCACGAGGGTCGGGAGCGGGGGTCCCAGCTCGGGGCGGAGGGCTCGGCTGTGCTGTCCTCCGCGGGTTGGGGGGTGCAGGTTGGGTCGCATGCGCGATGCCGCACGGGGGGCTGCCGGCGCAGAGGCAGATCGCGGACCGAGGGGCCCCTCGCCGTCTCGGCGGGGGGGTGGCGTCCGACGCGAGCGGCCGCCGAGCGGGACAGCAGCACGCGGCCGCCGGCTCGAGGAGGAGGAGGGGGACTCGCCGCATCGGGGTGCTGATGAGGCATGATTCCTGCCCTCCTCCCACCTCGCTGCCCGGGGAGGAGGGGGAGGAGGAGCGAGGAGGAGGGGGTGAGAGGGGAGGAGGGAGGAGAGAGAAGGGAGGAGCGAGAAGCGAGGAGGAAGGAGAAGGACGAGGAAGAGGAGGAGGAGATGGAGGGGGAGGGTGGAGAGAGGAGGAGAGCAAGGAAGAGGAGAGGAACTGCCGGAGTCCTGCCCCCTCTCTCCCCATCCCCTCGAGGAGGAGGAAGAGTGAGGAGAAGGCGGGGGGAGGAGGAGGGAGGGAAGGGTGAGGAGGGAGGAGCGAGGAGGGAGAGGAGCGACGCGCAAGAAGGGAGGGAATGAGGCCAGAGAAGGAGGGAGGAGGTGGGGGGAGGAGGAGGGAGGAGGGAGGAGAAACCAGCGGGGACGGGCAGGGCCCCTGCCCCCCCCCCTCCCCCCCCGCCCCTCGAGGGGCAGGGCCCCGGCCGCCCCTCGCGCAGGCGCGGGAGCTCCGTGCGGCGTGCGCCGCCGCGGCCGGCGCCCAGACCAGCTTCGTGGAGTGGAGCATCCCGGACCGGCGGGAGGTCTCGGGGCCCTCGGGGGGCCCTCCCAGATGGGGTCCGAGTGGATGGGGTGGGTCGGAGGATCGCGCCTCATCGCCGATACATCCGCGATGCGGCTCGATGTGGAGCCCGATTTGCTTCACGTCGACGTTTCCGATGCGTCACCGACGTCGACGATGCATCGCCGGTGCATCGCCGATGCATCGCCGATGCATCGCCGATGTATCGCCGATGTATCGGCGATGCGGCGCGATCCTTCGACCCCATCCACTCGGACCCCATCTGGGAGGCCTCTAGGGGCGGCAAGGAGGGGAGTGACGGCCAGTCTGCACGAACGAAATGGGTACGGAAAGAATGGGTACAATGCCCAACAGCAGTTCCTGTTCATTTTGAGCAGGACTCGCTGTCCGCGCCGCCACGGCCTGTGTCCAGTTGAGACAGAGGGCAGCCTGCCCAACAGTGGCCGCTGTTAGTTTGGGACAACATTGGTTGTTGGGCATTCTACCCATTCTTTCCGTGCCAATTTCGGGTGTCCAAAGCAAGGGGGGGCAGGGGGATATCGTGCAGTGGGCCACGAGATCTCCCCAGATTTCATGGCGCCCACCTCCCCCCGCATGGGCCGTGCACGTCTCGCCGGCCACGATTTACGGCCCCCCCTCTGGGACGCCCCCCTCCTGGCCGCCCCCGACATGGTCGCGTCGTGAAAAAAAATCAGGGCGGAAGGTTTTTGGCCGTTTTCGGCCCCTGCGTGCCCTCGCCTGGCCTCGGGACCGTCAGACAACGATTCAGGATGCAAGACCGGTCCCGGGGCAAGGGTCGGGACTTCTGGGGACGCCGTCCTGACAAAATCAGGGCGTCGCACGACTGGGGGGGGCAACGCTGCCCAGACCCCCTCGCGCTGCGGAGTAGCCACGACGGGAGGTGCTCTGCTAGGTTGCGGCCCCGCGGGGCCCGCAAGACCCGGCCCTGGGGCCGTCAAGAACGACCCGGGAGGAAAGAACAGTCCCGGGGACGGGGTCCAGACCTCGGGGGGTCGACGTTGCCCCCCCTCCCCCCAAAAAAAGCACGACGTCGGGGGTCTGGGACGTCAGGTCGCCATGGTCGAAGCGTTAGGTCGGGCCTGTCCCCCTACAGGGGGATTTTCGACGAAGAATAAGAAATACACCAAAAATAACGAAAAAAATATCAAGAAATAGTCTGGGTACTATTTTTGAGTATTTGTTTTGCCTTTTGGGGGTATTTTTGGGGTACTTTATATTTGTTTCGTCGAAAATCCCCCTCTAGGGGGACAGACCCGACTTAAGCCGGGAAGCGGGTCCTGAGGGATGCGAGTCCTGAGGCTCTTGTCGCCGTTGCCGGGGCTCGCGCCCTCGGCCGTCCTCGCCTTGGCTCTCGCCCCGTCGCCAGCGGGCTGCTTCCTCGCACGGGCCTCGCCTCTGGACCTGCTCCCCCCACCGCAGGTTTACGTCGGGCCTGTCCCTCTACAGGAGGAATGTTCAAACGTAGTTAAAAAATAGTCGGGGGACGATTTGTTTGAGCATGTTTTGACTAATCTGGGGCATGCTGGGTGTATTTTTAATTTTTATTTTTTCGCCCAAAATCCACCTGTAGGGGGACACGCCCGACTTAACCGTAGGGGCGAAGCGTGCTGACTCGCCTGTAGGCCCACCAGCGAGTGTTCTAAGAACCTTCCGCGGCTTGCACGACATGTTCGCATAAGGCTTCTGGCTGAGACAGTCTTGCGTTAATCGATCGGTTCCATGTTCTGAAGACAGTGCTTCTGTTCTGAGAAGGCCCTCCTGTTCTAACAACTTGTGGAGCCGAATGCCCGGATAGCAGGGTGCCCGAAGGGCGTGGAAAGCCCTGGCGAAGAACTCCGGAAGGACCTGGCGAGAGCTTCCAAAGGACCTTCTGGACACTTTATGGGCACGCGTTTTGGGAAACGCTAAGAAAAGGCCTCTCGGGACACGCTGCAAGTTCAAGCAGCCTGCGCCGAGGTTATTTAACGGAAGCCCGAGCGACCTCCGGGGCTACCTTGCGGCTCCAGCTCCTCTTAATCTGAAACCCTCGTAGCCCTCTGCGAGCTATCCGGGAGCATCTTGCCATAGGCCTCGAGGAATGCCGGGACGGTCGGCCCCTGCTCAATTGCGAGCGGCGGTGGCGCTGGCGGTGCCCAGCACGGGGCCTGGAGGCCAGGGTCTTCTTGCAGAGCAAGCGGGCGCTCTCGCACATCGTCGATGTCATCCTCCTCTCAGGAGGGGGAAAAACACACAGACACAATTCATCGGCGACTCCCAGGCAAATGTGGGAAAATATGGGAAGTGGTGGGGAAGACGAAGGGCCCAGAAAACATGTGAAAATATGGCGAGTCCTGGGATTTGTGTGTGTGCTTACGTGTGTGTCCCAGGGCCCCCTGAATTATGACGTTCCAACCTCTTTTAGCCTCGATCACCAGAAAAGAATCTCGAGCACCAAGAAAGTACCGAAACTGCAGGGTTTGCACGCGTCGGGCCCTGGGAGGCGATACTCGTTCGACGCTGTGTCGATACCTTTCCTGGGTGCTCGGAATTATTTCTGGGACGTGGTCCTTAAGTGCGATGGAGGGGCAACATAATTTGGAAACTGGAGCATATACATTACCAGTGGCGGGCTGTTTCCCGGCATTTTTTTAGGGTCGGGGACGACATCGGGCTGGTGTGGTGTATATGTTTTCCCCGCTTTCCCGGGATCCCAGGATCCTGGGATCCTGGGAGCCCGGGATCCAGGATCCCGTATACACATCCCGTACACACCAGGATCAACGAGAAGCCCATACACCAGGATCCCGTATAACACCAGGATCCGCTTCCCTGTGCGAGTTTCAGTGCGGGGTCGGAAAAAGCGTCGGTGTATAGAGCTCGGCTCCGTCATAGTTCTTGCAGGGCAAGCGGCCGCTCTCCCACGTCGTCGTTGTCCTCCTCCTCCTCTGCCCCCTTTTGGCGGGCCCAGGAGAGCTCCCCACCGGCCCCCCCCCCCGGGGGCCGAGCGGCCGCCCAGCGGGGGAGTGCGAGGAGGAGGAGGCAAGGGGGGGGGAGGGAGGGAGGGAGGAGGCAGAAGAGAGAAGGGAGGAGCGAGGAGCGAAGAGCGAGGAGGAGGGAGGAGGCAGAGGAGGAGGAGGAGAAGGAGGAGGAGGAGGAGGAGGAGGGGGAGGGGGAGGAGGAGGGAGGTGGGGGGTGGGAGGTGGTAGGAGGGAGGAGGGAGGAGGAAAGCAATGAGACCGCCCCTGTGAGACCTCTGTGGCGGCGTCTCGCGCGGCAGGCCGGACTGCCATGAGACTTGGCCGCTGATGGCACCAGGCAAAACGTTCGGATCCGACGCCGGCGACGACGACGGCGACAACGACGGCAACGACGACGGCGGCGGCGGCGGCAACGGCGCTGGCGAGGACGACGGCGGCGGCGGCGGCCGCGACGGCGACGGCGACGGGGACCGACGACGACATTGGCGGCGGCGAGGGCGCGCCTCCCCGGGGAGGACTGCCTGCGGCAGCTGGCGCCGCCGCCCGAGAGGCTGCCCCCCCTGGAGGCCGCCGGGCCCTGGGCCGCGCTGCGGGAGGAGGCGCGCCGGGGCGCACGCCAATCATTAGGGGTCGGGGGTGGACAGACCTCCTACCCCTGACACGTCGATTGAGGAATGGGCCGTTTTCGGTTCGCGAGAGGGCGGCGCGGCCGTCGTTTTTGCGGGTCCAGGTGCGTCGGTTTGGGTCCCAGGCCGTTTTCACTAAGGGGAGGTTTACTAAAGGGAGGTTTGTCCACCGCCGAAGGGGGTTCTCGGGGCCAGGAGCTCTGCACCGTCGGACCGAGGGAGGTAAGATCGAGGTCGGTTGGGGGAGGGCAGCGCCAATCGTTACTCCAAGTCCCTTCTGAGTCGACCCCCCCCCTAAAAAGCCGGACCCCCCTCCAAATGCGACCTCATATTCCGGACCCCACTCGTCGATGGGGCGTCTGAATAAACCGGACCCCCATAAGCTTCAATCCAAAGAAAGCGCCCTAATAAACCGGACCCCCCCAATTACAAAACAGGCGCCTTAAAAACCAGACCCGGGGGAGGATTAATAAGGGATTTGGAGTATGGGGATCTCGGGGCCAGGACCACTGCACAGTTGGACCGAGGGATGTAAGGTCGAGGTCGGTTCGGGGAGGGTAGCGCCACGTATTTTTCGCGTTTGTTGGACGTTCTGGTGCATCCTAGGGGGGGGCACCCTCGAATGCCCTTCCTTTGGGCCAGCGGAGGGTCTCATGTTCTTGAAGGATGTTTTGTCTGTCCTAGTTCCGACCGTATGTGATTCGATGGCGGAAACAAGCTGCGTAAACGTCATATCCTCGGCCGTCCCATATGATGGGCCTGTTCTCCACCACCACCACCATAAGTTGGAGGGGTAGGGGTCCTCCTCCTCCTCCTCCTCCTCCTCCTCCTCCTTCTTCACCCTCTTCCTCCTTCTCCTTCACCCTCCTCCTCCTTCTCCTCCTCCTCCTCCTCGTCCTCCTCCTCCTGACTAGAGCGCGTGGTGAGGCAGCGTGGGGGCTCGGGCTCGGCGCGCGGTGCCTGGGTGTCCCGAGGCGTGTTCGCCGTGGGCGCCTCTCGAGCGGCGGAGGCCTCCCAGGGAGGAGGGCCTCCCAGGAGGAGGAGGGGGAGGAGGAGGAGGAGGAGGAGGGGGAGGAGGAGGAGGGTGGAGGAGGAGAAGGAGGAGGGTGAAGAGGGAGGAGGGTGAGGAGGAGGGGGAGGAGGAGGAGGAGGAGGAGGAGGAGGAGGAGGAGGAGGAGGAGGAGGAGGAGGAGGGATTGTCTCGGATGTATCCTTAGTCAGCGGGTCGTGCACTCGCACCTCAGCCCGTAGTGGGGCGGGGTCTGGCCGATGCGGGTGTCCGCCGCGCAGACTAAAGCTGGGGAATGACGGATAGCCACGATACTGAGGTGCTTAGTGAGGAACACCCGTCGATGTTCCACCTCTTTATCGATTTCGCTGGCCGCCACCCCCTCCTCACCCCATGCCCCAAAGTGATCCTGTCGAATCGGGGCTCCTACGGGGTGGCATCCCATATTGGGGGAGCGAACTTGCCGCAGCAGTGGTCCGCAATTTGACTCCTGGCGTGCACTGCCCAGCGGTTCCCCTCCGGGGAGGAAGCGGATCCCACGGTGGGCCCGATTGCTTCCCCGCCGCTGAATTCAGGGGCTCTTGCACTTAGTGCAGGGACCCTGGCAGGTCGGGCAGACGCCGGGAGCTTTAGCCCCAGCGTAGGTGTGGCAAAGCGGCAGGGGCCCCAGCCCATGCAGGCAGCCTGCGATGCTTGCGTGCTGAGTGCCACTTCGGGGGGGACCCCCCTGTGAAGATGGATGCCTCTCTGCACATACTAGCACCTGTGCCGCGCGATAGCGGCACAAACGGGGCGTCGCCCCATCGGGGTGACTTCCCCCTGCGAGGTTGGATGCCGTGAGCGTTCCAGTCGCATGTTGATGCCAGTGGCCCGCGTAACGGTCTGGACGGCCGTAGTTTTTAGCAAGACCGCGAAAACGACATGAAACCGGCTTTCTGGGTTGCCATCCCCGCTTGGCGATGGCCCCAGGATGCCACAACAAAGTCTGGAGGAGGAGGAGGGAGAAGGAGGAGGAGGAGGAGGAGGAGGAGGAGGGTGAAGGAAGGAGGAGGAGGAGGAGGTCCCCAAAACCCCTGTGGTGGCCAGAAGGAGGAGGAGGAGGAGGAGGAGGAGGAGGAGGAGGGTGAAGGAGGAGGAGGAGGAGGAGGAGGGTGAAGGAAGGAGGAGGAGGAGGAGGTCCCCAAAACCCCTGCGGTGGCCAGCTGCGCGGAGAGGTCGTCGGGGACCTCTTGCGGTGACCACGCGGTCCGTTACTGCTCGGTGTTTGGGCCCCCGGATATACGCCGAAGTCGGGCCTGTCTTTCTACAGGGGGAGCATTCAAACATAGCTTAGGGCATAGTCTTGGGACGTTTTTGTTTAATAGCATGTTTTGTTATGTTTGCTTATTCGGGGGGGGGTATGTTTAATTTTTCATTTCAAATTCGCCTGTGGGGGGACATGCCCGACCTAAATGTACGCCCTGGAGGGCCGTTGGGATTCCCACTCAGGGAATCGAGCCTGGTCGCCTGCCCATCCGGCATCGGAGAGGGCCTGGACGTGCACTGGGCACACGAAAACAGCGACTTATGGGTATCCTTAAGTCGGGCCTGTCCCTCTACAGGAGGACTTTTCAAACATAGTCTAAGGATAATACGTGGACGATGGTTGGAACACTTTTTTGCTATGTTTGGGTATCTGTTGGGCATGCTCTATTTGTCGCCCAAAATCCGTCTGTAGGGGGACATGCCCGACCTAAACTTATGGGTACTCCACCTGCTTCGCCCCCCTCCTGCTTCGAGGATCGAGGTGTCTGTCTCTTGTGGTAATGTTTGGTGCACCCGAGGTCGAGGTCGGGGGGGCGCCGATTACCAATCGGCCGCTGAAAACAAGTCTTTTGCAGCTTCCAGATTCTATTCGACTTGAGGTGCCTCCCCACTTCAAGAACCGAGCGGATCCCCTCTACCCCTCTCTTCAGGGTGCGGGCGGACACCGAACCGACTTTCAACGCCTTCCTACTTCATGTTTCTACCCACATCTCCCGACCAGTGGACATCCAACGGCACCGATCCTGGGCAGGCCCCGTCGTGGGCCCTGGGTCGGTGTATATATTGCCCTCTTGGCTTGGCCAGTTGGGCGTGTCCACGGGTCTCAGGTCCGGGATGGGGAGATATCCGACGTATTGACGGGAAGCACGACGCCGTGTGAAATCTCGATTAGACTTTCCGTCCCGATCTTTGTGCGAGAGTCTTCCAGCTTGGTCAATCCATAATCGGTTACCCGATGGGCCCTGAACGGGGTCAAACGCTCGTCGTCCACGCCACAGATTATCCAATTCGCAGATTCACAGATCTGCAGACGCGCCCCCCGGAGGATCTCGCTGGGCGTTGGGTATGGATGCGCCGCCTCCTCCCTCCTCCTCCTCCTCCTCCTCCTCCTCCCTCCTCCTCCTCCTCCTCCCTCCTCCTCCTCCTCTCCTCCTCCTCCTCTCTCCTCCTCTCCTCCTCCTCCTCCTCCTCCTCCTCCTCCTCCTCTCCTCTCCTCCTCCTCCTCCTCTCCTCCTTCGCTCCTCCTCCTCTCTCCTACTCCTCCTCCCTCCTCTCCTCCTCCTCCTCCTCCTCCTCCTCCTCCTCCTCCTCCTCCTCCTCCTCCTCCTCCACGGCGCCGGGCTTCGGTAGGTTCGCGTCGTGCCGACGCGGCGGCGACCCAGCGCGGGCGCCGAAGGCTGAGCGCCTTCGGTGGCCCAGGAGCGGCAGGCAGCGAACGACCTGCTGCTGCCGGGAGGCCGCGATCGCCCGAGGTCGACCGACCCACGCAGGGGCGCCAGAAAGGCCAACGCGCGCAGGTCGTCGCGACATGGACCTGCCGCACGGCGCCGACCAGAGGAAGCCGCGCTGACCGCGCTGCGGGGGGAGCGCGGTCGCCAGTCGACGGAGGCCTCCCGAGCGGTGCTCGCACGCCGTCGCGCTGCGCGACGCCTTCGGAGGCGTCCGGGACGCCCTTGGGAGGCCCTCGGGAAGCCTTCGGAGGCCGCCTCCGAGAGCAAGGCGTCGCGAAACGACCCCGCCGTGTCGGCAGGAGGAGGACGGGGAGGAGGAGGAGGAGGAGGAGGAGGAGGAGGAGGAGGAGGAGGAGGAGGAGGAGGAGGAGCGAGGAGGAGGGGGAGGAGGGGCCTGCGACTCACTGCTACTGTTGCGTCTTGACGAACCTGGACCGCGCCAGAACGCCATTCCTGAGATTCCGACACCACGGGTCAACATAACTGTTGCGCCCTGAGAATCCGACATCGTGCCACCACATTTGTTGGGGGACGCTAGCCTGGATAATCCTCGAAACTGCTGCAAACTCTTACAACGAATGCGCGCGGCGCTAAGGCAGCAACCACGTGTTGACAAGGACCTGCCACTTATGTGAGTATCTTGTAATGTTCGAGGCGACTGTTCGCGGCGCCAGGGCGAGAGCCACATTTTGAACACGATCCGTCTTCCACCCGTGAAGCTCGTGCGACAATTGAAGACGAGTGTGCGCGGCGCTAATGCGATAGCCCTGATGTGCTAAGCTGAGAGACACATTTTGAAAACGGCCGACGTCCACCCGTGAACCTGCTGCAAAGTGTAAGGTTCAGGGCCGTAAGTAGTGAGGAAGTCTCATGCGAAACGTCCGGCCCGCCCTTCCGACCAGCCTCGGGGTGCGACAGGGCGGAGTTATTCAGAAGGAAATGGAATGGAGGAGGAGGAGGAGGAGGAGGAGGGGGAGGAGGAGGAGGAGGAGGAGGAGGAGGAGGAGGAGAAGGAGGAAAAAGGGAGGAGGAGAAGGGAGGAGGAGAGGGAGGACAAGCTAATTAGGTGTCTCGCGCCATATCTGACATCGCATCCCTCCCTCCCATTCCTTCCCATTGCCTTTTTTTCATCCGCCGATGCGTGTCATGGCCGACCTGGAACTCCACAAGAGACCCCATCGTGTTATGTGCAATCGGAAAAGGGAAACTTGTGGGACCTTCGCGACCTGGGGAACCTTTGTGGCCTGTGGTGCCTGTGAGACCTGCGACACCTGTGGGAACTGTGGAACCTGTGGAACCTCTGGGACCTTTGGGAACGGGGACCTGTGAGACCTGCGAGACCTGTCGGACCCGTGGCGCTGGCGGGACCTGCGGGACCTCTGGGACTTGCGGGACTTATCGGGATCGTTGGACTTGTGGGGCATGCGAGGCCTGCGACACCTGTGGGACTTGTGGGACTTGTGGGACTTGCCATGCCAGTGGGACCTCTGGGACCTGTGGGGCGAGCTGCGGCACTTGTGGGTCCTGTGGGGCCTCAAGTGCCTGCGAGACTTGCGGGGTCCAGAAAAGTGGCCCCATGCTGGGGCGGGAGCGCCACTCTGAACAATGGGAGCACAGCGCCGTTCCGAAAAATGGTATGCGATCGGATGGTAACGAAAGTCATATGCTAACAATTGCTATGTTCATTGTGGGGTAGGAGGATGGGGAGGAGGTGAAGGAGGAGGAGGAGGAGGAGGAGGAGGAGGAGTGGGAGGGAGGAGGAGGAGGACACGGTTAAGGAGGGAGGAAGAAGAAGGAGGAGGAGGAGGAGAAGGAGGAGGAGGAGGGAGGAGGAGGAGGGAGGGAGGAGGAGGAGGAGGAGGAGGAGGAAGAGGAGGAGGAGGAGTAGAAGGAAGGAGGAGGAGGGAGGGGGGAGGAGGAGGAGGAGGAGGAGGAGGGAGGAGGAGGAGGAGGGAGGAGGAGGGAGGCAGGAGGAGGGAGAAGGATGAGGAGGAGGAGGAGGCGCCCCCACACCTCCAGGACGCGGCGCGGCGGTGGCTCTCGCCGCCCTTTGAGGCGGCGGGCGCGTCGGGCCTGCAGCTGGAGCTCTGCACCCGGAGGAGACCGAGGCCCCGTCGGCAACGGCTGGGCCCGCACGGGCGGACAACAGATCCGATCTTCCCCGCCGATTTTCACCAGCCTCGATCATATCCCTTTCTCCAAGATTGACACGCCGAAAGGCGATGTCAATCTTAGGGATGCGCCCTCAAAACCTGAGGGAATCCCTAACATTAGCATCGTGATGGGGCGATGCCCAGCATAGGGATAGGGTATATGTCCAGGCTGGTAAGATCCTGTCGTCGTCGTCGTCATGTCGTCGATGTCGTCGTCGTCGTCGTCGATGTCGTCGTTGTCATCGTCGCTGTCGACCCGTCGTCGCTATCGTCGTGACACAACGGTTTGTCGTATCACGCAGCACACAGACACGCACAGGCCAACGCATGTACACGAGGAGTGCGCAATTACCGCCAACACGACCCATAGCCAAAATGTGCGTGAAGAACCCACAGGAGACGAGGCCCCGTCGGGATCGGCTGAGCTCGCGGTCGGACAACAGTCGAAGAAGAAGCAATGCCATGAACATAAATTTCTGGCGCTCCGCGATGATTTCTTGGACCTGCGCTGGGCCCCCCCGGCGGCGCCTCCGGCGCCGCCCTTGGCGCGCTCCGCGCTAGCCGGGGAGGGGGGTCCAGCGCGGATCCAAGAAATCTGCGCGGAGCATGTTCGCCCGAGCTCACCGGCCCGATCTGGATAGAGCGTTGCAGCAGCACCTGGCTGCGGCGTTGAAAAAAAGTGTGTGGCGTTTTTTCTTCCTCTCAACAGGTCCGGTCTTTCTCACCGATCCCCGGGAGGGTGGGAGCATGCCCGCACCGCCGGTCGTCCTGGAGGGCCCTCGTTGCCGCGGCAGTCGTCGTCGTCGTCGTCGTCGTCGTCGTCGTCCTGTCGTCTTCCTGTCGTCGTCGTCGTTGTCGTCGTCGTCGTCGTCGTGGCTCGTTTCGGGCAGTCGTTGCGTTTCGGGCAGTGGCTCGTTGCGGCCCTAAAAGGGCTCTTTAGGGCCCTTTTCTTCACCCCCCAGTTGGGTCACTCCACATTATCACCCGCCCGATCGCTGCCACGGCTGGAGTTGCTTGGAAGTTCTGGTCAGAACGAACCTTGGGAGAAGATTGGACAGTAGCCATGTCGGCGCTCGTTCGTCCCCCCCGAACGGAGCGTTTCAGACTCGATGTTGGGGGTTTTCGGACGATTTCGGTGGTTCTCAGCAGTTTCCCAGCCTATGGGGTGCGCTCCAGCGGCTGCGCCTCGCCGAGGGCGTTCAGGGGGTGCCTCAACCGTCCCGAACGGCTGCCAGAGACTCGAGCCATGACACGAAAACGCTTGCTGAGCGTGTCGCGCCGCCGTTTCTGGCCAACCACGCTCCGGCGCGACACGCTGACCATTTCCCGATGCCCGAGTGCCCGAGCGACAACGTCTCTAGCTACCCCCACCTTTTTTTCGCTGCTCTTATTACACTACAGAGGAGCTCAACATACCCAGTTAACGTGTTGGGTGTACCATCGGTATTCATGTTACTTCCATTATCGCCACCACAACGAGTGCCACCACCAATATCACATCAACTACCAGTACTACTGGCACCACCATCGCGATTGATACCACCATTACTACCACTCTTGCCACAACTGCAACTATTACAACAACTGCGAGGGTTCCCACCACGACTCTTCTTAATACTACCACTACTACTACTACTACTACTACTACTACTACTACTACTACTGCTACTACTACTACTACTACCACTACTACTACCTCTACTACTACGACTACTACTACAACGACGACTACTACTACCTCTGTTTACGAGTACTACTACTACTACTACTACTACTACTACTACTACTACTTCTACTACTACTACTACTATACTACTACTACTACTACTACTACTACTACTACTACTACTACTACTACTACTACTACTACTACTACTACTACTACTACTACTACTACTACTACTACTACTACTACTACTACTACTACTACTACTACTACTACTACTACTACTACTACTACTACTACTACTACTACTACTACTACTACTACTACTACTACTACTACTACTACTACTACTACTACTATCACTACCACTACACATACGACCACTACTACTGCTACTACTGCTACTACTGCTGTTACTACTACACCTACGATTACTACCACGACGACTACTACAAGTACTATTACTACGACGAATACTACCACTACTACTACTACTACTACTACTACTACTACTACTACTACTACTACTACTACTACCACTACTATACTACCACGACTACTACTACGACTGCTACTACGACTACTGCGAGTACTACGATTAATTGTGTTATTTCTACTACCACCACAATTACGATTACTACTACTATTATTTCTGCCACCCTTATTTTTATTATTACTACTGATACTATTTCGACTGGTACGCCTACGCTTATTCTTTTTAGTATTACGATTATTTGCACTACGACTACGAATATTATTATTCCTACTACTACTATTACTACCACGACTCCTATTACCATCACTAAAGATTTCGCTATTGCTCGTATTATTACGACTACCACTACTACCCCGACTACTACTAGTACGACTACTACTACTACTACGACTACTACTACTACTACTACTACCACTACGATCAATACTATTTTTACTCCTGCTATTACTCCTACGACCACACCATACGGATAGTATTATCCCTACGGCCGCGACGACAAGATAACTTCGACGACTACTACTACTACTACTACTTCTCGACTACTTCTACCACTATTACTACACGGACTGCTACTATTGCGACTACTACTACGACCACTATGGCTACGACTATTACTACTACTACGTATGCGAGTACGATTATTACCACCACCACTACTAACTTTACGACAGCTACTACTACTACTACTACTACTACTACTACTACTACTGCTACGATTGCTACTACTGCTGCTGCTACTACTACTACTATTACTACTACTACTACTACTACTACTACTACTACTACTACTACTACTACTACTACTACGACTACTACGACTACTACGAGTACTACTACTACTACTACTACTACTACTACTACCACTACTACTACTACTACTGCTGCTACCAGTATGGACCTACTACTACCACATATACTACGACTATCTTTCCAATGTGATCATTACTACTACTCCGACTACTCTTGCTAGTACCATTACTGCACTTGCCACGATGCTTAGTTTTAGTACGGAGACTGCTACTATTGTGACTGCGACTACTACTACGACTACGACTACGACCACAACTACTAGCACTACTAGTAGCACTAGTACGACTACGAGTACGACTACGACTACTATCAGTACGATTACCTTTTCTACTACTACTACTACTACTACTACTACTACTACTATTGCTGCTACTTCTACATGCCATTACTACAACACATGTATTAGCATTGTCATTGCCATTCTCTTACTATGACCACCATTACTACTTGTTCTACTACTAGTACTATTACTACTGCTGCTGCTGCTACTACTACTACTACGACTACTACTACTACTACTACTACTACTACTACTACCACTGCGTGTACCTATCTACCTGCCCGCCAAGGTACCTACCTACCTACCCCTACCCATCTATCCACCGACCTATCCACCATTACCAGAACTACCACACAATAGTAATACCATCTCTAATACGACCACGACTCTCACTACTACAACCTGTACGGTTACCATTTCTACTACTACTACTACTACTACTACTACTACTACTACTACCACTACGGCTACTAAGACCACAGCTACCACTATTAGTACGACTACGACTACTAGTACGACGACGACTACTACTTTACTATTCTTGTTCATATTTCCCCACATGCTCGGTGGGTTTCTCGTTTTCTCCTCTCCCGCGCCCCACCCGCGTTCCTCCGTCTCCTCGCCCTTCCTCCTGCCTCGTCGCGCCCGCGTCTTCCTCTCTCACCTCGTTCTCTCCTCTCCTCCTCCTCTCCCTTCCTCCCTTCGCCCACGCGCCACGCTCGCGCGACGCGTGCATGAGACGCGTGTCGCATGCAGCCGCGCGCATGCACACACTCGCGCACACATCATACAACGCCAGTGCGCGCTTGGCGTGCCGACGGTATCATACATCAAAAGTGCTCGCGCCACATACCAGGCAGCCAAATGATATGCACGTCCACATGCACCCACTATACACATGCACAGGGCACACAAGACACAACACACGCATGCAGACACGCGCGCACACACGCACACCGACATTGAGACACGTGCCCACATACAGCCGCACACACACACACACACATTGCACACCGGCACAAGGCACGCACGACACAAGACACGCATGCGGACACACGGGCACGCACACACACAAACACACACACACACATACACACAAACAACGCCAGTGCACGCCTGGCGCGCGCACTGCATCACACACCCACGACGTATGCGCCACATACTGGACGCCCAGATGAGGCACACGTCCATATACATCCGCACGAGCATCATACGCATCACACGACGTCGCAGGCGTGGCATTTTCTCCACACCACAGGGTGTGCGTAGGTCACGGCGGCCCCTATGCGTGCCAGTGTCTGGGAGCGTTGCAGACGTGGCACTTTTTCGAAACCGTAGGGGGTGCGCAAGGGGGTGGTCCTTCAGGGCGGCCTCTATGCGTGCCAGGGTCTGAGAGCGTGGCAGGCGTGGCGCTGTCTTGACACCATAGGGGGTGGCCCTTATGCGTGCCAAGGTCTGAGAGCGTGGCAGGCGTGGCACTTTCTCGACGACAGGGGATGCGCGGGAGGTGGTCCCTCACGGCGGCCCCTATGCGTGCCAGTGTGTGAGAGCGTTTTAGACGTGGCACTTTTTCGAAACCGTAGGGGGTGCGTGCGCACGGGGTGGTCCCCCATGGCGGCCTCTATGCGCGCCAGGGTCTGAGAGCGTGGTAGGCGTGGCACTTTCTCGACACCATAGGGGGTGCGCGGGGAGTT